TAAAAATAAGAATTAAAAATAAGAAATTTCCGACGGAATATTCCATCAGAAATTTTTTGTCGAAAATTTTTGACGAATTTATTTTTCCGTCGGAAATTTCCTACAGAAATATCTGTCAGAAATTTGCGTTTTTCTTGTAATGTTGTAGGCACTTTTAGTATTTTGGAACGGCCCGTTCCAGTCTGGGAACGACCTATTCTGAGATACTAAATCACCCTTGTTTTAGTAGTTTAGAACAGCCCGTTCCAATCTGGGAATGGTCTGTTCTGGGCTACTAAATCACCCCTATTGGGCTTTGGGCCCTCGTATAATCTGTGAAAATCGGGCTGTTACACTCTGAGTCATTTGATTCCCCCTCTCAGTACAAAAAAATGTATTGATTAGTGGCAGTTTAATTTTGGCGGTTACTCTAAACCACAAAAAAAATATTATATTTCTGACAATTATATTAATCGCCAGTATAATTTTTTTTTAGTGGTGTATAGCCGTCTCAATATTATAAATATTTTTAAATATATTTTTGAACTTATTGAAACATGGTAAAATGCATGTCGTGTGAGTTCCTAACCACATACATATTAAAAAAAGGGTTAAAACCCTTATTTGGTCCCTTATAATATTTTTTGTTTCAATTTAGTCTCACTTTAATTTTTTGTTTCAATTTAGTCCCCAATAATTTAAATTATTGCAATTTGGGACTTCTGTCCAAATGATTTAAACGGAGTTAACTGTTGGCCATGTGGATGTCAGGTGGATGCCACGTAGATGCGTAGGTGAATGCCAAATTTCTTGAATACACCTGGAACCAGAACGGCCCATTCTGAAACTAGAACGGCCCGTTCTGGTTGCACTCTTGGTATGTTAATTTTGTACCTAGAACGGGTTGTTGCAGGTACAAATTTTACACACCAAGAGTGCAACCAGAACGGGCCGTTCTGGTTCCAGAATAGTCGATAATTATAGTTCACGGTTGTGAATCGTGCACGGAAAAAGACCCAAGATACAAAGCATTTCAAACATTAGATTTGGTAATATTGTCAATGGGGATTGATAACTTCAATTGCTAAACATTTAGGCTATACAGTGTATCATTAAGGACGATGCAGTGTATCACTGAGGACAATGGTAGCATGTTTTATTTCATTGTTAGTCAAACTGGAGTGAACCACTTACTACCAAATTGACACTATACAGTCAAGGATGAAACGAAATGGTGTTTCCCCTTGAAGTCATTGACGATGTACCCCAACAATAACAACCTGTTCTTGAGGAGGTATAACCTGAATTTTTGTGGTTTAGGGTTTCCCTTCAGCATTACCCAGATGGTTTCCTTTCTCAGTAATTTCTTTGAACTTTTTTAGTATATGTTATGTTCTGAATTTTTGTTTTCAGTTTCTGAACCATGTTTCTGTCTTTGAATTTATGATATGTTATGAACTTTTAATTTCAATTTTTGAATCATATTGCGGCATTTTGGTCAACGAAGTTGGCGTTCTGGAACGGGTCGTTCTGAATCCAGAATGACCCGTTATAAAACCAGAACGGCCTGTTCTGATTTCAGAACAGCCCGTTCTACTGCACTCATGGTGTGTTAAATTTGCATTTGGAACGACCCGTTCCATTTGCAAAATTAACACATAACATGTGCAAGCAGAAAGAGTCATTCTGGTTCCAGGTGTATTCATGAAATTTGACATCCACCTATACATCTACGTGGTATCTACCTGACATCCACGTGGCCAACAGTTAACTCCGTTTAAATAATTTGAACGAAAGTCCCAAATTGCAATAATTTAAATTATTAAAGATCAAATTGAAACAAAAAATTAAAGTGGAACTAAATTAAAACAAAAAAATATTATAAGGACCAAATAAGGATTTTAACCTAAAAAAAAGTGAAACTCTTTGCCTTCGATCTCATTTCCCTTACCTAATTTCCATCTCGTGAAACCCTCCGTTTCCTCAGCTTCAAAAATGAGTGATTCTCTATGACCTCAAGCTTAACCGGTTCCTCAACTTCGTCGTCGTTGACGACATTGGCTGAGAAGAGTTATTCCTTTGGATAACAGTTGCCTCTTCAATGCGGTTGGGTAAGCAAACCAATGGAAATAATGCAACCGCTTTTTATTTTTTATTTTATTTTTTATGCTGTGGTGGTGCTACTTGTTTGTATACATGATTCCGCTTGTGATGTTCGTTCTTATTTTTATCGATTCAGATATGTTATGGATCATGACGAACACAAAGCTGCTGAGTTGAGACAGGTCATTTTTCTTGTGTTAATTTTACTTCTCTCAAATATGCAGAGTGCTTCCTATCATTCAACTGTTTCATTTCATTTCCATTCATGTTTTTGTCAATTTACTTTAGCTTGGTCATCACTCTGCTTGTTTCAATTTGAAATAGTTTCTGAATCCAAAACCCAAAAAGTGAACGCAAGAGTTATGTATTCTCGTTTTCAGACAAATTTTCCTCGCAAGAGTTATGTATTAATCTTCCATTCCTTCCCTATATGCATTGTTTTGTGTCAATTGGGAGGTGAATTGTGAGATTGCAAGTATATGGTATTTATTTTTATCTACTACACATGAAACAATAAAAAAAATACAAATTAAGGTTCATATGTATTTTTAGATTTTCATGTTGCTTGATCATTAATCACACCTTGCATGAGTCAGATATCTGCCTTTGAGGAAGCTCCTAAGGAGTTCGATCAGACCATATTTGCTGTACGAAAAAACAGAAGCATTGGACCTATTGAGGGGCTTGCTCTAAATTTTGTGAAGGACCAGCAGAGGTAATTTGCAATTCCTCTTTAACCTTAAATAAAGAGAGACAAGATTAGCATACTTAGAACGATTGAATTTCATTAATCTTCATATTTGGATTCTCTATATTTATCAGATTTGTTGTGAATATGCGTAAAAGTTTTTTCTTGGACATGCATGTTTTCACTTTCAGAGGACTTGGGATGCATTTAAATTTGGAATTGGATTACGGAAATATTTTCTACTTTCAGTAATAATTTCAAAAATATCACCCCAATTCTTTATTTATGTGCAAATATTTATAAACAAAAAATGAAGTGAAACAATGTGACATTTTGTAATTATTTGTGTAAATAGAAGACATTTTTGCAAAACCAATGCACCTTTATTTTTTTTAATTTAGAACAGGAGCAAAGTAGTGACACTACAACAAAATTCATTTTTTCCGACAATTATTTACTGGCAATAAATTAATTGCTTTTGTTTTATTATTTAATAAAAGTATTAGTGACTAATATATAATGGTCACTAAAAATATATTTATATCACACCAAAATTTACTATTAGCAACAATTATTTATTAAGAAAAACTTTAGTCTCACATCGACTAGAAATAAGATAATTAAAGAGTATATAAATGAACAATAACTCTCACCTTACAAGTTTGTTATGTAAGATTGAGTTAGACCTATAACTTATTATTCTAAATTAGCATGAGATTACTCACTATTATCAAACTCAATAATCCTTAAACTTAAGGGGTCGACTATTGATCAGAAAATAATATATATATATATATATATATATATATATATA